TGTACATCGTAGCTTTACCAGAATAGATTACTTTGTTACAGATTCTAGACTATTACCCAGTATTATCAGCTCTGCTTATCATCAAATCTTGATTTCTGACCATGCCCCACTTACCATGAAAATAGATTTTAATTTAAAGCCTCCAATTTTCAATTGGAAATTCCATTCTACCCTTCTGTCAAACAAAAACTTCTTAAAACATAACGACAACGGTGAGGTCTCTGATTCCACTCTTTGGGAATCTTTTAAGGCAGTATTGCGTGGCAAGATCATCTCCTTTCAAACATTTTCGAAAAGAACTAGATTAAATCGTCTGTCCCAAATTGAGTCTGAATTATCAACATTAGAGGAGGCACTTCGCCAATCTGATACTGAGGACATATCTAATGCTAATCTAAAACTAAAACTCGAATACAATCATATTTTGGGAACCCAAGTCGGTAGCGATATTATTAAATTGAAACAAAGACACTTTGAGTTGGGAGATAAACCCCATAAATTACTTGCCAGACAATTAAAAGATGTGCAAGCCTATCGCACCATACACAAAATTGCCTCCTCTACCGGTGAATTAATTACTGATCCTAAGCTGATTAACGACAGATTTGTTGAGTTTTTCAGCACACTGTACTCTTCTAAATCAAACACCACTGACTCTGAGCTTTTTAGCTTTCTTAACTCTCTGAGTATTCCAACCCTTACAGAGACTACAACGAAGCATCTTGTAAATGGTGACGCGCTCCCACAATGCATTGCGGCGTGACGTCAACTCCAAAGCCCTATAGGCTGTGCGAAATGTTACACTTATAGTATAGCATGTGTAAGTCTGTAACACCAAATCAAACTTGCATGTCAATTTTTCAATTTACCAAAATGGAAATGAGGTTTTATGGTTCACGCAAACTATGTTTATGCTATTACAAATATATATGTTTTTACCTTTTTATATATTTTCTTTGTGGCAAAAATGCTGACAAAATATACCTACACTAAATGTGTGTAGAAAAATATTGCTAAGCGCACCATGGACTAACTCTTCTCTACTGACCTTAATAAACTGTAGTTTCACGAGATCAGACAGCTGCTTCTCATCTGAATCATACAGGTTGTTTTTACTCAGGTCTAGATGTGTCCGGTGAGAAGGGTTGGCCTTCAGAGCAGAGACCAGAGTAGCACAGCTGATATTTGACAAATTACAGCTCTCCAATCTGAATAAAGCAAGCAGATAAAATCACTGATAATTCATTCAGATGATTTCACGTTTTAAATGCGCAGCTCAGGATTACTGCAATCAAAAAATCAATCAGCTTCTGTGAAATGAGTAGTGACTATTCATTCTGTTATCGTGGATCATAATCATCTCAGCTACACACATGCAAAGGTCAGCATGACATTCAAACACATATTCATATCAACAGACATCATGCTGGTGACCTCTGTCAAGTCTCTTACAGGATTACACGATCAGTATGATATAAATATGTTAAACATATAAAAATATGTGTTTTAATGTCGCTTTCTTTGTGTGTGT